ATTCAGCCGCTGTTGAAACTGATCAGTTTCAGCAGCGGCTGAATCTGGACGCCAGTTCCGACTTACATACAGATTCAACTTAAGAACAAACTTACAGTCCCTATCTTGTACGTAACCCGGGGACTGCCTGTATATGTTTGTAATGTCTAAATACAGTTCTGCCTGTACTGACAGATCCTACCTCACCAATTCATCAGATGGCACGCAGAATATAACAAGTTAAACAATGTCCCTAAAAACGTAAACAGGCCAGGAAAAGGAGTCTAAACCACTTGGGTAGCCATGTTAGCAACATATAACTGCAAGTATTTCTTTGAGAACTTTCTATGAAAGATCCAATAAGGACACATCATAATTAAATAAAGTCTCTTATCTAATGTTCAAGTAACTCCATAATGGAACCTCTAATGAAGTTTCACAACACCTTTGTGAAATATTACTTTCTTCCTTTTACAGAAGATTACAGTAGGCATGAAAGAGGTACTGAAATTATCAAGGTGACAACGTGGCAATCGTGATCAGAATGCAGAAATGCCTTTAAAAAATCCTACTCTATGCACTGTAATACATACCTCATCACTGACCTACTCATTATCCTCTACCTATAAAAAGAGTTTTAAGAATAATTAGCAAATCTATTATGTATTTGAGAGAGTTAGTCTGAGTGCGCATTTGTTTGTCTGTTCAAGAATTCCTCCTAAACGATAAGAGCAAGACCCACCAAATTTGGTATTCAGCTGCTTCTTGTCGTAATTTAAACTTAGCTGTTCCAGGAAAACGGGATGTGCCTAGAATGGGATTGTTTCTGATAAAAGGGAAAGGGAAGACTCTGCTACATAATGACCACATGGAGGCAACAAGGGGATATGGGATGAAGAGCAGATAGTTATACTGTACAGTGACCATAAGGGGGCATCAGGGGCCAGAGATGGGTACAGTAGTTTTCTGTATTCCTCACTATGCCTGGGGAGAGCAAGGGGCAGATGAACCTGGACCTGCCCCAACCAGGAGACATGCACTCCTTCCCTCCCAGGCCCATAGGAGCTGCAGCAGCTATGGAGAGGACTGGGGTAGTCCTCTGTTCCTGGAGCAGCCTGAACTTTGAAGTTCTCCTCCCCTACCCCATCCCGGAGCAACGATTTAAATGAAGAAAAATGAATTGAGTGAAGGACCGCAAGCAATGCTGGGTACATCTTCTAGTTAGATATAAATGCAACTTGGGATCCCTAAGCAATTTGTTTTATTGCTCACAGTGACTGAGCAGGGATGCATCTCAACTCTTATCAGTATGAAAGATCTTATCATTACTCTAAACCTTGACTTGTTCCAGAAACACTGCCATCATTAGACCAATACCTGAAGACCTATTGGGTATGGCTTTGACCTTTGACTGTTACCCACAGCTACGTACAATCCCTGACACTGCAATCTACATGACCACACAGTGTCAAATGCCGGCGGGACATGACGACCTGACAGTGAGGCAGATGTGACTGGGGCTGTCATACCAAAAAGACAGGTGTCCAAGGTCATCAAAGCGCGTCTCCGAGGAGCGAGCCACCACGCTCAGATTTAGCCAAGCCTGGGAACGTCACGTAGGTCGGTGGCTAATGGTGCTGGCGACCAGCGCGATGCGGACGAGAGCCGTGCATGGGCGGAGGGGGGCTCGGCCACACCCCGGTAGAAGCAGGGGGGCAGCCAGGAGGCCCCATA